TTAAATCTGAAACTATATACATATTTTACTACATGTTTGAAAAATCATTACAAATCCTATATTAAACCAAATCTGGTAATTTCTAAATATGAGAAGTCTAGTTTCTTACAAATCCTATATTAAACCAAATCTGGTAATTTCTAAATATGAGAAGTCTAGTTTCATAATAAATTTTTAGATTATGGAATTGATTTATAAATTTTAAGTGTGGAATTATTTTAAGAAAATATGACGAATCTGTGTCATAGAATTTCTTGAAATTTTATAGAATTATTTATAACTTACTTTTGGGAATTTCTTTCTGGAAAATGACCATAACATGTTTTTTGAATATTTCATGTAATTCCATGAATTTTAGAATTGTATAAATAATTTATTTATAATTTTAATTACGAAAAGTATGTTTTGAAATTTTCTAGGCAGATTGAGAAGGAACCAAGATTATTACTTCAATTATCTATTAGGACTAAAAATAAATATTATGCTGGTCCAATTAATTAAATCATGTAAATTAGTAGTCCATGCATGTGTGTGGTTGTGGTTGTGGTTCACTTTTCAGCATCTAAAATTATCATTTCATACCATGGTTTAATTTAACTGTTTATTATAATTTTGTACATTGTTTGATTATTGTATAACATATCTGTAATATTTTCTGTTGGGAATTTTAATGAAATGGTATAACACTTATGGTGATTGAAATTTGTAATTATTTGTGATTAATATAAAAACTAACTAAAATGATTAATGGCATGTACAAAATTAACGATTGAGGGTTAATACTAGTAATTCAGGGTGAGCCTTGGTTTTTGATAATTTTTACATAATTATGTTGTGAAACCCTAAGATAGCACGGGATGTATTTGAACCCTGATCAGTATTTGGTGTTAGGATAAGGGCGGATGTGCGGATGGCACGTAGGGAAGTTACGTATCCCTGGCAGACCGTTCCCTTGGGGTAGACCACAGATGCCACAGCTTGGGCATATAACTCTGGGTGTGAGCATCCTTGGTAGCTACTATTGGTAACACTTGAATATTTAACTAATGGAGAGTTTTCAAATTAACCATGGCCATGACTTAGTGGTTGGTAAGAAAATCTCTTTGGTGAGATTTTGAGTGTCATCCAAACTATTAAAATTGTTAAAAATTATTTTAATGGTTGTTAAAATGTTATTTTATTAATTTCGTTATTTTCTTTAAATTGTCATGATTATTAATCTGATTATTTTCTCTTAAAAAGAATGGTAGGTTTGTTATGTTTTCTTACTGTGTTGCAAAACTCATGGCATATGTTTTGTTGCCCTGGTGTTTTATGCTAGATTTTGACGAGGAAGGAGTGGAAGTTGAAATTGGAGCCGCTGCTAATATAGAGCCTTGGTTAACTTGAAGCCATGACTTTAGCAAAATAATATAGAGCCTTGGTTAATAAGTTATTTTGTTATTTAATTTCCTATGATGTTGCCCCCCCAAAAAAATTAGAGGGCGTCACAATTTGGTATCAGAGCTTAGATTCGAATCTTGGGGCCATGGGTAGCAATTATATATTTTTTTCGTTTAAGAAAACCTTACGTTGCTGTAGACCACCCCGAACTCCGCTCCGCGCGTGAAGGTGCGAATTGTACTTCTTAGCTGCTACAGTTCGGACTCCTATCACGGTTCTGAATCTAATCTCAAAAAGTGCAATGTAAGACTAATAAATCACCAAAGAGTCCAAATCCGGCAATTGGTTTTGAAAAATCAATTTTGAATCAAAAGCGCCAAACATGGACTGCTTTGCCAGATTTCAGAGTCGCCACCTAAATATTTTATTTTGGAAAATTTAGGAAACCCTGACTCGTGCCTAAGGCCACGTGTCCGTCATCACCAAAGTTGCCTCAGCTCGGGAACTTGGGTACGAGAGGGGAAGGTCCTGAAATGAGCACCCCCGCTCGCCCGATCAAATGATCGGCCTCTACTAATCATGATATGTTGTTTTTGAAAACACATGTGTTCTTATTCCGGTTTATTAGCTAGCTTACTATGTGATGCGCACAGCATACAAGTATAGACTAAATCTGTCACACCTCAAACCCGCCCCTAGCAGTTTGGGCATGATTTATGCAGAAATGGACATTTAACCTGGTATATAACATAGGGGTTTGGACGGTCCTGAAATGAGCACCCCCGCTCGCCCGATCAAATGATCGGCCTCTACTAATCATGATATGTTGTTTTTGAAAACACATGTGTTCTTATTCCGGTTTATTAGCTAGCTTACTATGTGATGCGCACAACATACAAGTATAGACTAAATCTGTCACACCTCAAACCCGCCCCTAGTAGTTTGGGCATGATTTATGCAGAAATGGACACTTAACCTGGTATATAACATAGGGGTTTGGACGGAAGCATTGATATCATATAATAATATACAAGAAAGTATGACATCTATTGAGCTACTATTACCATGCTAGGATCACAGGCATTGCAAAAAGGAGATACACATATGGGAGCTAGTTATAAACATATGCATATACAAATCCAGCCCCAAGGTTGGGCGTATAACAAAACATTATGTACATTTTATCCTAAGTCAATAACTAGAATGCAAGCCATCGTCTAGCAAAACACCACAAAAATGAATGGCTTCGACCAAGTGCCTGGTTATGCTTAGGCTGACAAAAGTGTGACGGTGACAGGGCTAGGACCGACCTCCAGGTTGATTACTTACAGAAACAGACATAACATAGAGTGAGCTAGGCTCAGTGAACAATAGTACATAAATGCTTCAATATTCAGTTATAATTGTAACACATCTAAAAGTGTAAGTAATGTGGACTTCATATAGTTAATCTGATTTTGTACAAATTTGCGGAACGACCTTGTCAGTTCACAACTTCACAGATTGGCCCTTGGCCTGATGGGTTCACACATTCACAAATCGGCCCTTGGTCTCATGGATTCATAATTTCACAAGTTGGCCCTCGGCCTCATAGATTCATATTTCACAAGTTGGCCCTTGGCCTCATTGATTCATATTTCACAAGTTGGCCCTTGGCCTCATAGATTCATATTTCACAAGTTCTTTCCATGTTTCCAAAATCTCACACTGTTTCCCGACACATACATGTTAACGTAGTTTCTTGCAAAGAACACAACGTCAATAACAATAATTATCAACGATATTAAAGGTACATCGATAGTACTATTACTCACAGTGTTGCTGTGGGGCACTAGTTCCTCCCGAAGCGTGTCCTGCACACATTCATAACTTTTAAGTTAGTTAGTTCCTCTTTGTTGAATTAGTTCCTGATTCACTCCACTTCAAACGAATTTACAAACATCAGTAGGCACAAAATACAATTTCTAAAAATATACGAGGGTCGAGCACGTAAAACGGAGCGAACCATTGTTTCCAGCATGGGCCGCACATGCGGCTGTGAGCCCCACACATGCGGCAAAGGGTCCCGCACGTGCGGTAGTGATGCCCCACACGTGCCTTTTTAGCAGTGTTCAAGCCCCAAAATGCCTCATTCCCCGCACGTCCGGCCATGACTCCTACACGTGCGGCTGGGGTTCCCGCATGTGCGGCCATGACCCCCGCACGTACGGCGCTTCTGCTCAAAACAGTCCGAAAATTCCCTCAAAATTCCATTTTTGTGTAGGTATTTTTAGAGCCTCAAACCTAACCATAAATTGCTAGTATAAAGTCTCAAATCCATGTGACTAGGAATCAAAATACATACATCAATTGAGTATAAGTTAGATCATTATTCTTAAGTTCATAAACACACTCAATCTCATGAGATTTCTAACTTTACTCACACATATACACAAAGCCATGCCACATAATTGAATTCAAGCAAGGAAATTGAAGGAATAGAGTGTAGCTTCTCATAGATACTTCAAATTGAATCAAAACATTCAAAAGTAAGGTTATCTTGCCAATTCACTTCTTACACACACATAGCATCACAATCCCAACTCTTAAGTGACAAGATTATAAGGATATCTCACACGAATTAGGAAAAGAAGGGTTGTAGGAGTTAATTAAGATAAACATCTACATACCTTAAGCTTAAGTTTCTCAAATTCCCAACCTTCTTGATGATCTTCTCCCTCTACTCTTCAACCCTTCTCTCCTCCAATGTTTTCTCTCAGGAGCTATGTTGGAGTTAGGAACTTTTTTTGATCAAATGTTCAAAGAATACACATATATCCATAAGGAGGGAATAGGACGAAAATCAATCGTTTAATCATCCCCAAATTGAAATTTCACAGAAAGGCTCATTATTACTTAAAAATTATGTTGATTCCAATTGTGTAATCAATTTTGGATTATCAAGCCTCCATGAGATTAGCGTAGGATTGGTTATTCAGGATCTATTCTTCCCCTGTTTCTGTGGGTCACCTATTATTTCTTAACTAGTGACGAATGGTAGATGTCTCCAATTGAGGTTAGAGGATTAACACAAGTTGTGTAAGAAGGCAACTATTGATCATAAATCTAGAGACACTTTCTAAGTAGAGCAACCATATTTTTCTGTGGATTCAATGTACCCCCAATACTGTCGCTACATATCTACTATTGGTCTAGATGCCAGATTTTTGCCATCTACCTTATCTTTTCTACTTTCACATAGGGATTAACCTGATGAAGTGATGTCCTGACTGAACATATTCTATGTAAAAGCATGAGGTGACATTGGATAAAATATCAGCATTATGCTGTTTGAAAGATGGATACCCTTGTTAAATCTATCTTATCTTTTCTACTTTCACATAGGGATTAACCTAATGAAGTGATGTCCTGACTGAACATATTCTATGTAAAAGCATGAGGTGACATTGGATGAAATACCAACATTATGCTGTTTGAAAGATGGTTATAATATTGTTATCTTCACTCTATTTATCCTTATTTCTGTGATCGGTAAAATACATCATTTTCAGACTTTGATTATGAGATACGTATTCCTATTATTCAGTGAACTGACTGAAATGTTAAAACTATTTGCAGACATACTTGGGGATCCAAATATTCAAGTTTTATTTCAAATGCACTAAGTGCTCTGCTGAGTTAACAATAAAGACCGACCCGCAAAATTCAGACTATGTTGTTGAGTCGGGTGCATCACGGAATTTCGAACCTTGGCGTGCAAAGGATGAGGTATTAAGTTACATGCCATATACAGCTTTCTATTTCATCTTTAGTTCTCCTTATTTTGTTGATTTCATGATTTGATTTTGGCTTCTTATATAATTTGTACATTGCTCTCTTTGTCAGGAAGCAGATAAGGAAAATCAAAAAAGGGAAACTGAAGAGATGGGAGATGCAATGAAATCCTTGGCGAATAGAACCTTGGATTCTGTAACGCCCTCAAAATAATAACATTAAACCCAACAAATAAGACGAGCGTTGATAGATAAACTAACCACCTTCTATCATTCATTAGAATTCCATTACATAAGTATTACATGTTAATCTCATAACAAAATGCCCTACGGGCTTACAGCTTTCCAAGTTAACACTTGGTTACAACAAAGAGTTCTAACTC